AAAAAAAAAAAAAGTCCATTCACTCTTGATCAAGATATAGCTTCAAGGTAGACAATTCCAAAACCAGTATCACAGAAATACTAATCAATATTCAAATATGCAAATATATGTAAGAATCAGGTTATACATTAATGCTTTTTGCAAAGAAATTACTGAAGTTATTGAAATTATTGAATTCCAACTATTTTGATATAAACATACACATTTTAAAAAATTTTATCAACAACTACTCCATCAACCCCTAGAAGAAAGAAACCGTTCGCGATAACGCAATTCCTTCCTAAACTTCCTATTTATTATCAATTAAATCAATAAGTAATTTTTTATTCACCACGCAGAAAAGAACACGACCTTACCTCAAAAGCCTCGCCCAGCAAATTCCTGTCTGGCGACCCAGTCTCGATCCTTCGATCTCGATCGTCGCCAAGGACACTCGAGGTGGTGAACGGTGGCCTCGAGGAGGCACCGATATCGCGACCCTTCCTTCCGTGATCCGCGATCGAACGAACGAATGGACCCGGCAGAAATGGCGAACCGTGTCACGGCGCCGCGCTCGCTACACCGGTCGTTGCACCCGAGCGATAAACGAGTCAATTTTCATTCGAGTCGGGCCCCAATTTCCGCGATCCGCGGACGACCTTCTCACGCAATCGAATAACCGCGTCTCGAGCCTATTGTTGGTAATGTGCGATTGCGACATCGGTAAGGCGATGGGGGTATCCCTTCGCTCTGTCCGTTCGAAACAATCCTCTTCGTCTATAAGCGTAAGAGCATTATTATGCTTTAAAAATAAGATCGTTGTAGAGATTTATATTAATGTATTTTTAAAACGTGCATTTAATTACTCGAAGATGAATACGTATAGATATGTACGTTAAATATCCCGGTAGAAATAATTATTGATGTAAAATTATAATAAGATCCTGTTTCTTATGAATCTTGCCGGAGATTCAAAACTGCAATAGATCGTTTATGAGGCACGAGTTTGGTAAATTCTCTTCACAATCTGAAATTTACGTTCATTCGTTAAAGAGGATTTATTAATTAAATTTTTTTTCTTTTTTGTATATATAATGATGTATGAAATATTACAAATTTAGATGCGCAATAATTGTATGTATTACAAAATAGCAAAGGAATACTTACAATGATGGCATTTTTTTCTTCATTTAAATATGATACATACATCTAAAATTAATTAACATACTATAATTAATAAAATATTATAATTACAATGATATATCGGTGTACGTTATTTCAACAAAAGTGTTATAGAAGAGATAACTTTCTTCGATATATCGATACATTTTTTAATATATTCTTCAGTTTAACGAATCAACAAAAAAAGAAAGAAATAGAAAAACTGGATGAACGAGCTAATAAATCTCGAGAAAAATTGGGAAAAAAAAGCAAAAAAAAAAGAAAGAATTAGATCACATTATGAATAATCGTTTCTTGGAGATGTTATCGTAAGAGTGGCGAGGATTTTTGTGTCTAGTCACTGTCTACCGATGACTGCAGTTATCGATAAAAAGACAAGCTATTAGTGTCGGTTGATACTATCTTACGCCGCATCGTTACAACACGCACGGCCGTATATTTTATTCATTAGTCATCGTCTGCGACATTTTCCTCTTTTTTTTTTTTCTTTTTATAATCCCCGTGACCGAGAGTACCTACGTATCGCGTTTGAAATATCTTCCTGGCGTGCGTGTTTCGATTTTTTCCCCTTCGAGTTTCGCGGGCAGAGAACGTGGGCAACGCGTGATAAAGTGAACTTGGATGGAAAGTACACGTGTTTCACGAGGACGTACGTTGAGTGTGTTTGAGAAAATTTTGAGAAGACACGTGGGATATATTATAAAAAAAAAAAAGGACGAACCCTTGCGAAGATAAAATTATGCAAGATTATGTAAGCAAGAAGAATTCTCTTCCATTAATAATAGAAATTTTATTTTTTGTCGATTTTATCGATCATCCATATGAACAAACTTGATATTTAAATGAAAATGATTCACGAGAATGATCCAAAAAAATCCATCAAAGCTGCTATTTCTACACGTTATCTTTAATTATCCCATATATTCGAATCGAAGATAAAAAATAAACCGAACGAAGAAACACCGACGATCACGTGCAAAATTTCAACAACACCCAATGGACGATCAAATCATTACGATCAAATTCAAAGCAATAAACTTCTCACCGCAAAGAGGGGGGAAAAAATTCCTTCCTCGAACCACAACCAAACCTTCGATTCACAAGATTCAAACTTCCCTCTTTCACACACACACACACACATAGACACACATAGCTCGTAGACTTGTAAACCCCAATGAGATCATAAAATCGGAAATCACGGATCCATCGAATTAGTCTCCGCTTTCAATTAGCGAACTTTGTCGAGATATCGATCGAAACGCGGCCGCAAACGTGGCCGATGAGGCATCGACGTCGGCGTCGGCGTCGCGACGCCCGACGACAGACACGTACGAAGGCCTCTCTCTCTCTTGGCCACAGCTCGAATTCCATTTCGTGGGCAGGGGGATGATCCGACCGACCGGCCGCTTGTTTATACCGTTTGTGCGCCCTTTTAAAAATAGGCGTTCATTCAAGGATCCCGGCCAGACGCTGGCCAGACATTCGACGCATTGTATACAGACGGGCATTTTGCCGGGTGCATTCTCGCCGCGCGTGTGTCTTTACCGCGCGCGCCAGTGTACACAAACGTCTTTGGAAAGGAAACAGACGTGGCGAGGAAACGCGCGACGAATCGATTTTGGTTGAGCCAAGGGGACGTGAGATTTCCCAGTTGTAAACTGGGAAATATTATCGGGATTATACGAGATTCCTTTCGTTACGATCGATCGCGGATGATTTGTGAGAATTCTTGGAGATTGGGAAGAGATTAAGGAGGAATCGTTGAATGGAGATTTTTTTTTTTTTTTTTCTGTACGTTTGAAGGTAAGCAATATCGTGTAATTTGTAATTTCAAGCTTTTGCTTTAGTTTTGAGATGTCTTTAAATGATCTTCCTTTCTTCTGGAAATAATTGTTTTCTAGAAATAATAGAATATGTGCGAGCGAAACTCTAGTTTGAATACTTTTTTATATTCTCATAAGTATCTATGGTAAAATTAATTATTCCTGATAAAAAAAAGAAGGGAGAAATTGAATCAAACGTACCAATTTCAATAATGAAATATATATATAATCATTATGACCAATTGACTCGTTATTTTTCTAATTTAACGTTCAAAGCGTTGAAATAAAAATGTTATTCTTCCGTATCCTCACATTACCTTCGATAACACGTACTCATTTCTCATAATTGGCCGACTTCCACCCCTTTCATTTCCCAAGCGACCATCGCAATTGGGCCCGTTAACTAATTTAGCTAGCGTTACATTTTCCACATTCCCTCGACGATCGTTTGGCGACGTGCTCGTGACAGTAGCTGATAACCCGACCCCAGAGCTCGGCCAAGAATTCGATCGCACCTTTGGACGATTCCCACGTTCACCGAATCGCGTAATAGACTTACTTGTATTTAGCAATACAAAGAGGACGCGTACAAAACCCTAAGCCTTCGATTTCTGGAAATAAATGAAATTTAAATCCAAATAAAGATTAACAATCTATCGATATTCTATTCTAAATAGAAAATGTGATGAAGAATCGCGTAATAGACTTATTTGTATTTAACAATACAAAGAGGACGCGTACGAAACTCTAAGCCTTCGATTTCTGGAAATAAATGAAACTTGGATGCAAATAAAGATTAACAATCTATCGATATTCTATTCTAAATAGAAAATGTGATGAAGAATCGCGTAATAGACTTATTTGTATTTAACAATACAAAGAGGACGCGTACGAAACTCTAAGCCTTCGATTTCTGGAAATAAATGAAATTTGAATCCAAATAAAGATTAACACTCTATCGATATTCTATTCTAAATAGAGAATGTGATGAAGAATCGTGTAATAGACTTATTTGTATTTAACAATACAAAGAGGACGCGTACGAAACTCTAAGCCTTCGATTTCTGGAAATAAATGAAACTTGGATGCAAATAAAGATTAACAATCTATCGATATTCTATTCTAAATAGACAATGTGATGAAGAATCGCGTAATAGACTTATTTGCATTTAACAATACAAAGAGGACGCGTACGAAACTCTAAGCCTTCGATTTCTGGAAATAAATGAAACTTGGATGCAAATAAAGATTAACACTCTATCGATCTTCTATTCTAAATAGAAAATGTGATGAAGAATCGCGCAATAGACTTACTTGTATTTAACAATACAAAAAGGACGCGTACGAAACCTTAAGTCTTCGATTTCTGGAAATAAATGAAACTTGGATGCAAATAAAGATTAACACTCTATCGATATTCTATTCTAAATGTGATGAAGAATTAGAATACGATAATGAATTTCGAAATGATTTCGATTTCGTTTATGGTACGTTAAACAGAGATATTGCTGGGTTTCTTCGTAAGTATGCTAGAAATATGCTTATGTCACCCTCTTTTCCCTGTGGCGGCCACCGTGGCAACGTGCAAGCAGCGAGAGATTATTTTTGTTTAGTCTGCTTCCCTTCTAAACGGTTGCTACTGTGTACGGCTTTATAGGTGCACACCACCAGCCAAGTTGAATTATTCGAACCGCTGACGAATTGTCTCGTTTGTTTATGATTTAGAATTGTTCCCTCCTCCGCTATTTATCATCCGTTCGGGAAGAGGACTGTTGAGAAGGATTTTTTTCGTTGTATCAATAGAATTTTTCATCAAGTGATGATTTAGAAGCGAGAGAAGAAGTAGATTTACGACTGGAAATATTTGAAATTAGTTATCACTTTTATTTTAAAGATTCAAGCAATAAGAATAATTATTCTTATTCTTAAATAAATTCTATTGTTTCGATGAATTGAAATTGTAGAGTTTCATGAGATATACTGTGAAAAGATAACAATATATCGCATTAACAATATAATAATTGTAACGATATTATATTTATATTAAATTCTATCCTTCAACACAAACAAGGATAATTATTTTCGAAGATAATTTCCATATACTTTATATCATGCTAAATTATTATTTTCATCTTCTATCTTTGCCGAAATAAATCTTACTTAAATCGATCAAGAAGAACGTTATATAAATAATAATCCTTTCTATCAACGCGTGGATCCTCGAAGAACAAACTCGAAAGAAATACCGATATTATAATCACAAGGAAAAATCGATGTTAGGCATTTGGGAGAGAATGAAGAGAATAAGACCAAAAAATCAAGCGACTGTTTTTCTTTTCAGAAAGGTGGCCAGGGGAATACGAACTGGCGAGACACTGGATGGATCTGATGCATATATAACAAAGGGAACGGCGAATAATCGTGATTATCGGGTGAATGACAGGCATTGCAGACGATTTCGAAGTGCTCATTAGAGAGCATTGATTTAATCCGGGCGATGCACCATCGCTCGAATCGTTTGATTTCGGTAATTAGGTGTTCGAGGAATTTTAAACGTTCGAAAGGAGAAGCGATCGCTGGAACATTGAGCATTCGATCGACGTATTCGAATCGTAATTGTGCTCGTTCCATTGGAACGGGTAAGGGTAATCATCGTGCGAAGAATCGAGCACGAGATACATACCGAAGGTTCCGAATTTTCAACCATCCTCCATCGCGGTGAACCAAAATTCCATTGGAATACGACAGCTCTACGACTGTATGATAAATAATATGATAAATAAAATATGGATTATTTATATTCTTTCATATTTTATAAGTTGATAAATGAGAAAAGAGAATTGTGAAAATTGTTTAAACATGTCCACTTAAATCTACCGATATCAAACGAATCTTACTATACTATACAATTTCATATATATATAAACAGCGATTCTATCTTTATTTATTTATTATTTATTTATTTATTAATAATATTTATTTATTATCGAAACATTGAATGGAAATTATATTTTGCATCACTATCTCATAATCTCACTTTCTTAGATTATTCCTGATCATGAGTCCTTCTATGAAACATCTTTCGATAATCTTACACTCTAAATCTTACTTACGCTATCTTATCGCGACCATAAATTCCATTAAATTTCTCATTTAATTTTCGCCAATAAACGACCTCAGATTTTTACACCGCTATTTTGCAACTTGCTCTTCAACTTCGTCCAGTTGAAAATTCTACGGTTGGTATCCGATGATATCGGTGATGGAAAATGGCCAAGAGGAGTATCGGACATACGACAGCCGCGAACGACTGCTGGTCGATGCCCCAGTACTGTGCACTTGGCACCATTTTCCTACCCTACCCAACGCAACCCTCTCTCTCTCTCTTTCTCTCTCTGTCCCTTTCCTTCCCTTTTTCGCTTCTCGCGATGAAGGGATGAAGGGAGAGAACGGATTAAATCAAAGGGTGGAGGGTCTGACGCGGCAACGGTGTCAGCGCGTCGAGATATACGGGGTGTTTTCAACTGTACGCAGAAACTTGCCCGGTTAATGGGACAAGCGTGGTAACGACGCGTGGTTGGTTGATTAAGGGTTTGCAAACTAATCCATGTTCCTGACGATTATTGCTGCGATTGGACTAACGATACGTGTGCAATTTATAATCAGACGCGATATTTAAATTTATTAATTTGAGTAAATACGTAAATTTATTTATATATGAATATATCTATCACTCGAATTGGATGATCGTTTTATGAAAAGATAAATTTAATATAATCAAATCACGTTTGATAAATAAGGGACGTAAATTTTTTTTCTTACATCAAGATGTGCGTAAATCAAAAAGTACGAGAAGAAATATATTTATCGTTGGATATTGAGAAAAAGAAAAGTGGCTTTTGGGAATACAAAATTCCACGTAGAGAAAAAAAAGGCATTATAAATAAGAGTCATATATTTTCCCTGAGAAGTCGTTTCCCTAGTTTTTTGACCTATATCATTGTCACTCTCGAAGTAGCTCCAAACGATCAAATTCCTCGAGGGAATAATTCGGAAGTTGATTGATTAAGCTTGGGAATTCTTCCGCAGAGCCGGGGCTAATGGAAAAAGTACTTAACAAGTTGTTCCCGTAATTGCTTAGAGAAAAAAGCTAATCGAATCACGCTGCCGTCGAATCGATCGTTCAAAATCATATGGAGTAGCTCTGATGATGAATTTTTTTTTAAACATAATTTCAATCGTAAAAATCAATTTAAAAATATATATATATAAATAATACTTGTTACGAAATTCAAAATCAAAAATCTCATAAACATCTTTTCCATCATTCATCCTCAAAAGAAAATCCATAATCCATAACGTTCTTTCCCCCCTAAAATTCATCATCAATTCATCCTTACCCATCTAACTCTATAACAACTACCCTTTCCGTAATCCCTCTATCGCGTTCTCAAAGAAATCGAACCCAAGCCCCTCGGAAGAAACAGATGCCAAACATCAAATCAAACGGCATCAACTCGATATATAAGATGTCAAATATAACCACTTCGCCACCCACACTTCCTCCGCCGTAACAATAAAAATAGACCAGCGGAGGAAATTCCTCGAATTCTAAACCACCGCTCTCCCCTTCTATCCCCCTTCCCGTCCAAGAGTTTCAGTCACGCCAATTCCGAATCGTAACGCGTGTTCGTGGCGAGGAGGAAGGAGGCCGCTTCCTCCTCGCGTGTGAACCTTAAACAAGCCGGATCGCAACGTCATAAATTCGAAGGAAGACAGGGGCGACACATCGGTTCAGCGCGGCTAGAACGTCACCGACAATGACGCAACGTTGGGTCGACGAACTCCGGGTTTCGAAATTGTGTCACGTGCTTCCCACTACAGATTACAGCCTAGACACTCCATTAGACGGCAGCGCGGAAGAATCCCTATTGATAAAACGCGGTAATTAGGCCGAACATCCCGTTTCATTGCGTACGCGCGTGCGTGTGTACGTATATGGAGCCCATTAGATCGAAGAATCAACGACCATGTCGACATCACCTGCGCTCGACTTTTTTCTTTTTTTTCTTTCTTTCTTTTTTTTTTTTTTTTTTTTTTTCCTCCAGTCTCGCGCGATTTACCGCGGTAATTAACATTTACATCGGCAATTAATGCCGAAGGGATTTTAATTTTCAATCTCGTGTCGCGTCGCTTCGACTTCGTGGACGTTTATTACGAAAATCGAACGAAAGGATTCTTTTTTTTTTTGTAATTAAGAGATTTTTTGAGAGTCAGATATTTAGGCATTTCGTAGAAAGGGATTTATTAGATGTATGAAAGTTTGTACGAGAGTTTGTATTGGAAAATCGATGTAGGCTTGGGGATAGAATCTTTAATTATGATCATGATTTATAGGATTGCGTGGTGGATCATGGTGGAGAAGATTTTGTTTTTCTCGTAAAATCGGTTGGGAGAGGAATATATCGGATGTAAGATATAGTTTTAGAATTTATAGTTTCGATTATTTTCGATGGATTCTGGATTTCGATAACAGAAGAAATTTTTGGTAAGAGAATTTTTCAGGATTATTCAAAATAACTATTCGTAAAAATAGATGAAAGATCAGCTGTTGTTTTTGATCGTAGTTCATAGATTCTGTATTTCTGTACGATGGAAAGAATTATTTATTTTTAATCGGAGAATTTTTTGAAATGGATATTTTAAATCTCGTATAATAAAATTTTGATAAGAGAAGAATGTATCTACGAATTTGTATTTCACGATAAATATATATTATCCGGAACGCGTACATTTTAATACATGAATATGCAACTACCTAAATATATATTTATCCGAATAATTTTCGAAATGAAAGCACTTATAAATTTCCAATTTTAAAAATAAGATTAATCTTCCAGAATTTCAATTCCATCGAAAGATTCAATTGAGATTAAGATTAATGATTGATATGCTGAAGAATGGGCAAATTAATTACACGGAAAATAGAAATGTTTGATTAATAACGATAATTGAACAACGACGAGAGGAAAAAACAACAATAAAAAAAAAATATCAAGGAACCAACCACTGTGGTTACATTTAAATACTGGTTACGTTACGTACTTTCATCACCTGCGTTTAAACGCAGCAGTAAACATCATACATCATCGAGTTCGGTTTTTCCTACATCCACGTAACTCAATCGGGCTCCCAGCGTGAGTTTATCGCATTAATTCGGGATAGAGACACCAACGTCACGACATCTCACGCTACATACGTAGGAATCACTAAATTGCTCATCACGCATGACCATCAATTCTGACGAGAATTATTATTCTCGAATAACTATCGTAACACATACGTGGTAATCCTTTAAAGAGTGATTAAGAAAAATGACTTCTCGTAAACTTAGCTCATAGCTAGTAGTAAAGTATCACACACGTGTATAGTTTAGGATTCTCGATAAATCATCGTTTAAATAAATTTCTTCTATTTCTAAACAGCTATCCGCTTCTCGAAATTTATGTTTAGAAATAGTTCAAGAATATTTCGTATAATGAAGTTCGTGCGTGTCTATGTTGAGATTAGACATCATATTTCATTCAAATTAGCCCGAGAATATTTTTCCTCGTTCCTAATCAATCTTAGATTTCGAGTAATTCGTTTATAGTGACGGATAAATAGTTTCTTCGATTGAAAACCACTTCGATTCGAATAATAAATATTCGCTCGTTAAACAAGTAAATTGAGTAAAATTTCGTTTCAACGGGTGAATATAAGTATCTGGAATAAAAGCCAAAGATCAATCACCTCTACTCTAGAACCTGTATCCAAAAAGAAGTATCCTCCTCAACTTTTTACACCCATTCATCATCAATAACCTCGAGATTATCTCGTGCAATGACAAATAAGGTGTCCGAATTAACCGGTAGCTCATCCCTATCAACTCATCAGCCTCGATACACAAACCTCGAGGCCCGAACATCCGGACCCAACCGTATCCAACGAGATTACGTACATTAACGAACGAACCGAACGAACGTTGTAACTCCCCAGCTTGGTTCCTTCTCATTTCTTCTCTCTCTCTCTCTCTCTCTCTCTCTTCTTTTTTTTTATTTTTCCTTTCGGCCGGATTCTCGCTCGGCATGGAGCTCTTAAAAAGCTGAAAGGTATTTCCTCGGTTCCGGAAGTCGCATTATTCCTCCTGGCTGGAGGCGAGGGCCGAGTGGAGTCTGCCGGTATTATAGAGCCGGTACATATAGTTCGCTGTACAACAGTCAGTCAATACTTTATAGCACGAACTTTCTATCTTTCTCTCTCTCTCTCTCTCTCTTTCTCTCCCTCCATCTTTTCCACGTCTCCTCTTTCGCCCTTCGACGTCCCTTTGCCACGCCATCCTCCTGCTTCTTACCAACCCCCATCCCGGATCCATCCTCCTCCCTTCAGAGCTAGAGAGTTGAGGGTACCAAACCCCGTCGTCGTTTTCCTCTCGTCCTTTCTTCCACCACCGGGGGCAAATACGAGCGACGGTTTCTACGATCTCCCATCGGTCTTTCGCAATATTCTGTATATATATATATATATATATATATATATATATATATATATATATATATATATATATATATATATATATATATATATATATATATATATATATATATATATATATATATATATATATATATATATATATATATATATATATATATATATATAAATGTGTGTGTGTGAGAGATACAGGGTGTTTCGAGTCATAGCCATGGAAGAAGATAGAACGAAATTTGATGAGGTATGATTAAATGGATTCGAGTGGAAACGTATCGAAAATCGTCGCTTTTGTATCTTTTTGAAGAAACTGTATGTTCATTTTGTAATCGAAAAATTAATTAGTTTAAAAAAAAGTATTTCCATTTTTGAGTCTCTAAATTTTAAATGATAAATGAATTTACCAATTTACTCCGTGAAATTCTCTTCAATTTCAAACTTTCTTCAACCGATCCAATAGCATGGAACGAACTGTACATCTCTTCTAACTCCCACGAGGAGGAGGAGGAAGAGGAGGAGGAACGTAAAGCGATGAAGGGCTGTGAATTTACAGCGAGCTTCAAGTGCATTGCACCCTACGAATAAAATGGGAAAGAACGTCGTTGCGTGTCAGCCGTGACTTCGCTACTTTCCACCCCGTGATGAAAAGATCCAGGGATCCAGGGTGGTTGAAGATGCAGCTGCAACTACCGATGATGCCGCTACTTCACCACTCCTCCTTTTCGCGTTTGTATTTTCCCTTTTAATCTGCAATTCCCTCGAAACTTTCCCTTCGAATCTTTCTCCCTCCTCTCTTTGTATTTACTCTGTTTCTATCCGTAGGGCTGATTACGTATATTGGATGTCCTTAAGGTGTTCCAGGGTAGATAAGGGAGAAAAGGGGTCGGTTTATCGAATCGTGAATCGTAAGGGAACGTTCCGTTTACCGGTCGACCGAGCTGATCAATCGAGCTGCCCAGGTCGCGGTCCCTTCACCCTGATACTACTATCCCCGAAAGCTATCCCTAAGTGTTCTCGAGATACGGTGTTCTGTATGGGTACGGAGGATATAAATCACAATCGAGAAGATTTTTCATGTAGAAATTATCGAGTTGCGAGTCCTATTCCCCTTGAGAACTGCCCTCTTGTTTCAAAATTTCCGTGACCTGGAAAGATATAAATCTTGTAAGTGGAAATTCAAGTCACCCAGTCTCTTTAACCTTACGCTATTATCTCTGAGATATTAGTTTTTTTTATATTTTTTATTTTATATTTACTGAAATAAATAAATCTAATTTAAATAAATCAAAATTAAATAATAATAATAATAAATAAATTAAAATCTAATTTAAATAAATTTTAAATTTTCATTATGAAATTATTTAGAAACTTGTTTATTTGTATAAGAATCCACTTCTTTCTAACACATTCTAAAAAGAATTTTCTTGAAAATTAAAAACTTTGTACGATATTATGCGATAAATTTTTTTTTCATCCCTTAATCTTATTATAAATATTTATTCTGATTTTGAAATTTTGAAATTATTCCTTCTTAAACATACGTGTACGTGTATAGATCAATCGAAGTGGCCGGCATCTCGCGTCCTTTTGCCCTAATTCCATCATCTCAAAAACTACCCCTCCAAAGATTTTCGCCATAACAATCTTCCACGGCCGAGAGATACCGATACGAATCTCAATTCTGAGAATTTTCTGTCGCGAAAAATAAGAATCAAAAGATTCCTGGTTCAACGAATCGGTGGCAGATTTCATCGCGTTCCAAAGTTCCAAAGGGAACAAGC